CTTATCGTTTGTTTATTTGATTTTAAGTGATTTGAAAACAAAGTCTGAATTCAATGCCAAATGTTTTTGAGTACTTTCTTGAGTGCAAAGTTTCATTTATTTCCCATATTTTTAATTAATATAAATGTGTGTAAAGTATTGAAATTGTTTTAGAGTCTGATTAAATAATTGCATTTACGTTAATGTAATTGAATTGAATTTTAAATTTATTTTGTTTTGATTTAAGTTAATGTACTTTTAATGTATTAGTTTTGATTACAAATTTCACAAAATAACAATAAAATTGAATGACATGAATATTAAGTTTCATTAATTGATTAGAATTGAAATGAATTGGAATTATGTTTTATTAGCAATAAATATAACATTAATTCACATAAAACTTAAATAAAATTCAATGTAATCTAAAAATCAATTTATTTGTGAAAACAACGTTATTCTGTGTAACGATAATGTCTTTAGAAGTTTGTCTTTTATTTATTGAAAATAAAGTATAATTTCAATACAAATACGAGTCAATAATCGTTTGAATATTCAGTAATTTATTGACAATCAAATTTGCGAATCAATTATTTATTACCTTTTATTGAACTATTCTTCGAAATAAAGTTTGTTTTTGTAATAAATAAAAACAAATAAATAAAGAAATGTTTTGACATTTAATAAGAAAATGATTATTATTTGAATTCCTGTTTTTTGAAAACAAATTCTTCGTATTTAAAGAACTCACAAAACAATTCACTTCTCATTCTTATTGACAATGATTTCATTACCGATTCCTTCCATCAGATCTCAAACGCCCGAAAATGTCAAACAAACCAAAATCCAAAATCTGGTCCAAAATTTTGACGAAATGAACGCCAATTCCCGACACAAAGACATTCTGTTGTCCTTTGGAGTCGGCGTTGGAGTATTGATTGGAGCGCTTTATTTAGTCCTTTCACTCAAAATACCATTTTGTGGTTCAGTTTTGGCCAAAGATTTGACTCTTTTTGACCAAAAACTCGAGTTTGTCTTAAGGTATGAAAATATAACTATTAATTAAAGTTAAACAACAATCTCTTCAAACAGATATCAATCGCTGTCTTTGACTCCAATTGTTTTCAACGTATTTCTCATTTTCATGCGATCTCTCACTTCGGAAGAGGAAAACGACAGAACGAAGAAAACTCTGTCGAAAGCACTGCAAGACTCGACGCAACACTTTCTCATCTCAACTGTTGTTCAAATGGTTTTAGCGGTCAATCTGAGCGCCGAACAAACCCTCAATTTCTGTCCGTTTATGTCAATCATGTTTTTCATCGCAAGAGTCAGTCATTTATTTGGCGTCAAATACAATGGCTTTGGTTTTGCTCTTTCTTTTCTTCCTTCAATTATTGCCGTATTTTTCACAACTTTTCGTTTTCTAGTTTTCGTATTTCTTTCCGAAACACCAAAAAGTGATTCATTTTAAGTGTTTTGAAATCAGCTCTCATTTGAATTGTAATTTTTAATTTAATCAAAAAGAATTCTTAGTTATTGTAAACAGATTTTCAATTGAAAGACATTTTATTTATTGTGAATAAACGGAAATAAATTCACGCATTTTGACTCCTTTTCGTGAATTCTTGCACCCAATGGAGGGTTCGCTCCAAATATGCCGTTTCGGACGCCAAACCCGTCTTATTGTAGGCGCCGTTATATGAGAGGTAAGGAATGCCAGCGGGAGGTGAAGAAGACGCGGGTTCGATGACAGAGCCCTCGTGCCACTCATTGAACGACGTGATGGACACATAGGCGGGGATTCCCGACGCGAACATGTTATTCCAGGCCAAGTCATAAGTGGCGCCGTTCTTGCGGTCCCAGAGATGCGCCTGAGTGTGATTCACAGCCCTTTCGTCGGTATATCCCGGGCCAACAGACGGCGACCAAAACATGCCTTTGCTTTTGCAGAACTCGTTCATCGCGTGCCAGCGTTTGGGATCCATGAAGAAGGGATCCACTCCTATGCCGTACGGATAGAAACCGCTGAAGAATGGATAGACGTCTGTGTTGCTGACCGGTTCTGGACTGTTATAAGTGGAGCCCAACATTATGTTGCTCTTCAACAGGCCTTTAATCGGTGTCCAGTCTTTGATCCAAACGCTGGAATAGATGTAAAAACGGGACGATTTCCGTGAGCGCTGTCCCGATAAAAGGCCGGATGTGAGCCGTACTTCTTGTTGATGTAATCGATGTCAGAAGCGGTCGATTCGGCGGTTCTTTGGCCGTAGGACTCGATATGAAAGCCCACTTTGAGCTGATGTTTGTGCGCGGCGTCCATAATAGCGGTAACGCACTTGTCCTCGAAGGAGTGCTGTCCCCACCAACTCGTGAGCACAACTCCCACACCTGTGCTCGCAATCCACTCCATGTGCTGAGCGATCACTCGAGTGTCGCACGAGTCGTAAGCGCCCAAAACGGGATAGAAGTTGGAGCCGACGTCTTTGGGCGGCGAGTGTTTGTTTTGGTCCCAATGAGTCCAATGCTCGCTCTTCTCCGGCGTCCCATACCAGGGATAGTAGAAGATATGCACCCTATAATTGGGCGCCGACAGCACTGTCACTGTGGCCAACAACAAGACGATTGCGATTTGCGTGAAAAACATTTCCAACGACTGGTTTGAAGTGAAGTGCGTTTAAATAGTTGCGAATGACTGGCGCTGAGAAGCGACAGAAGAACTCAAGTGTTTTGCACTTAATTTGTAGATACAGTTAACAATTAAACGCACCTTTAATTTCATATCAATTATTGGAAACACTTTTTGTGCAATTGATAACAAATAATGAAACGAAAAACAATTATTCTGCAAATTATGGTCAAAATAACACATAATTTAAGGAATTAAAATTCTTATTCTAATAACAAAATTATAAAGTTTTTAAATTTAATAATTCTATACATCTCTAAAATTAGAGCAAAAACGGATATTTTGAAGCGATATAAATAGATGTGCTTTCAATGCGATAAACGCAGTTATCATGGTTGTTTTATAAGTTAAGCAAATTAATTGATTACAAACATTACGTAATTAAATAAATAAGATTTAATGCAATATTATTACAATTATTAAAAATAACTTTATTAAGTGGTTTTTGTCAAAATATTTATTTATTTTGTATTAAATTAAAAGTTAAATATTTTACAATAAATTCAAGAGTTTTGACTCCTTTTCGTGAATTCCTGCACCCAATGGAGGGTTCGCTCCAAATATGCCGTTTCGGACGCCAAACCCGTCTTATTATAGGCGCCGTTATAAGTCAAATACGGCGGATATAAGGGGTTGTCTCTATTGGGAGGGGAATGGGAGGCGGGTTCGATGATCGCCCCCTCGTGCCACTCGTTGAATGAAGTGATGGACACGTAATCGGGAATTCCCGACGCGAACACGTTATTCCAGGCCAAGTCATATGTGGCGCCGTCTTTGCGATCAAACACCGGAGCCGTGGAGTGAGGTTTGGCCACATTGTCCACATATCCCGGTCCCACAGACGGACACCAAAGCAATGATTTGGTCTTCAAGAAGTCGTGCATCGATTTCCAGCGCTTGGCGTCCATATAGTGTGGATCCACTCCAATGCCGTACGGATAGAAACCGGTGAAGAAGTCCAACACTTCCGTCTTATTGATCTGTTGCGGAACGTTATAAGTGGAGCCCAAGATTATGTTGCTCTTCAACAGGCCTTTAATCGGTGTCCAGTCTTTGATCCAAACGCTGGAATAGATGTAAAAACGGGACGATTTCCGTGAGCGCTGTCCCGATAGAAGGCCGGATGTGAGCCGTACTTCTTGTTGATGTACTCAATGTCAGAAGCGGTCGATTCGGCGGTTCTCGAGGGATAGATCTCTATATGAAAGGCCACTTTGAGCTGATGTTTGTGCGCGGCGTCCATAATGGGAAGCGAGCACTTGTCCTCAGGCGAGCCCTGACCCCACCAACTCGTCAACACCACTCCAACGCCCGCCTCTGCGATCCATTTCATGTGTTGGTCGAGCACTTGGGGGTCACACGAGTCGTAAGCGCCGAGCGATCGGTAGAAGTTAGAGGCGACGTCTTTGGGCGCCCTGTGCTCCGCTTGTGTCCAATGTCTCCATTTGGAGGAATGGCTCGGATTCTGATACCACGGATAGTAGAAGATGTGAACCCTATAGTTGACGGCAGACAAAACGCCCGAAAAACAGCAAAATGCGAGAATCAAGAGAAAAGAATTCATTTTTCTTTGATTATTAATTTATAAAACTTTTTGGTTTTTATACATTTTTTTAATCGCAAATTACTTAACTTTTTTGCACTTTTCTAAATACCTTTTTTACTTGTATTTCTTTGAATAAAACACTTATAAAATGGCAAATCAAACACATGCATCTTATCTAAGCGTTCCTTTGCAGGGGATTTGGATTAATGAGTGCTTATATACCTTATATTACTTGTAATTTTTAACTCAATAATAAATGATAAGTAAAAGTGTAAAAATGTTTAATAAGTTTATAATTTACATCAATTTTTATTCAATGAATTCAATAATCATTTAAAAAGTATTTCTAATTGCTTTTTTCCTCAGACTTTGTAAGGCTTCAATTCATTGCCAATCGTGTAATTGACGATTCGATTCCAGTCGAGTCTCCCCTTAAGCACTGGAAGCGCTCTTCGAAGGGCTTTGAACGTGGATTCAGACATTGTCTGATAATTGTCACAAATGGCCGTTTGATAATCATCTTCCGATTCTTCGATCAATTGTTTTATGTCTTCTGCCAATTGTTTCTCATTCTGAAACACAATTCACACAATTTGACACTATTTTTAAACGCGACAACACTTACAGTAATAGCGATTGGTTTTGAATAGTCCTTAACGCTGAAGAGTTGCACATTTCCGTCCTCGAAGTAGTGGACCTGCACTTTGATCGCACCCTTCAGTTCCGCTCGCGAACCCATTCCCGGGAAACTCAAACTCCAAACCGAACGCCACTTTCCGTTGCTTTTCATTCAATAAAATACAAACGTTTGAGTAATTCATTGTAATATCAATATTCTCTAAAACATGATTTACTGAGACACAAAACAATATATTGCAGAAAATGAATTGTTTTTTCAATAACACGACATTTCGTGATACTAATTAAGTTTCGATTATTTTTATGCTAAAATATTATGTTTCAAATCTAACAACAATTGTAATAATTAACTCTAAAATCTCTGTTTAACTCATTTATCACTTCTATAACAATAGTTAACGCTAATTAGCATTTCTTATAAACACGACTGAATAACACTAAAAATTATTTTTAAATTCAGTTAATTAAGGAAAATATCTGTAAAATTGTAAAAACAATTAAATACCAAAAGTTCTTGTGTTGAAAAGTGTGACATTCAATACAAGCGGTCAAAGAGATGTTTCCGTTTCTACTGAACCCAAACACAGCGCTCACACCATTGGGATAGCGATCGGCGCAGTATTTGCTCCACACGTCGTCCAACGCCGACCTCCAGCCCTCGCTGATGGGGTCGGGAGTCCACGGCTGGTATTCGCTCACCGTTTCCTTCAAGTTGTCGTATTTGAATGACAGTTGACTTCTGGGATCGAAATAACGATCGCTTTCCAACTCATTGTGTTCTGTGATCAAAGTCTGTCTCAAAAGAGGCGTTAGTTTTGTCATTGACTTCTTGTAAGAATAATTTGTACCTTATTTTGAACGGTTTGAACGGAAACGGGAGTCAATTGGTCTTTAATGTGTTGCGAGAAAACGCTGGAATCGCAAACATTTAATTATACAATCAATAGACAAATAATGCTCACCTTGATGCCTTTTCTTTCAATAGCTGGTCATCGTTCAAGAGTTGGCGCACATCTTATAAGAGGAGGAATATATATAATTGAATCAAAGCAGAAGACAATTGACAGACCGTTGACCACATCTCTGAACTCTCCGGGCGGCGCGTGAAGTATAAACCGGGTTATTATTTCAATCTGTTTTCAATCATTTGATTACAAATTAATTCAAAAACACAATTGTTTTGAACCTTTTCGCTGTCCGACAGCTGTTTGTCCGAAATAGCGGCCATTTGTGTCCCGTTTTTATCTCTAATGGAAATTTTGTTTGAATAAAACTTTGAAACAAAATACTCTTATTCAACAGTTGTTTGAGTTTGCAATCAATGATTCATTCATTGCATACAATATGCTGTTATAGAGAAATGTCTGAAACCGTGACAATTATCATTGATGTGTGTTTTGTACACAATTGTCTGCTAAATAACGTTATTGTATTAATGATTGCTTTTCTGGTTTCAAATAAAACCGATTTGTTTGCATAAACTCTGCAATTGTTAACGCATACAAAATTTGTATTACAAATCCCCGGCAAATAAACATTGCAATTACAGACAGAATTGTCAGGTTTTATACAGTATTTTATAATTAATACAAACAGTTCTTATTAATAATGATAAGTTCTAGAATACTTGATAATTATCTAGCCTTGTTAATTTAAGTATTTAATTACTATTGCTCATGTAATAATGTATTGAAAAATATTTATCCATTTTGTAACTACTTTATTAATAAACACTCAATTAATTTTCAGTGAGCTATACATAAAAATCAATATAAATCTGTATTTCATAACTAAATAACTCTATTATCTAATCTATTGTAATCTTTTCATTGTTAGACACAATATATTTCACAAAATCATTGCAAACGCTTTATAACAATGTTTTTGTAACAAATGTTAATTATTGTCATAAACACAGTATTGAATGTCTTAAACGAGAAATACTTAACTGTTTTAATAATAAAGACCATAATTTGCGTTAACAGAACCTATTATTATTATTATGACATCTGATATAAAACTTTTTCTGCTCAATAATATTGATTGGTTTAATAGTTACAGAAAAAAGCATAAAATAAAATCATTTAATAAGAAATTAGAGACATTTTACTGTAATTTAAGAATTAATAAAAATACAAGTTTTGTGTTTTTATATATAAATTTTACATCATTAACAAATACTAAACGTTTTTACTATTAATTATTTTCAACACGTTTCTTAACCAGTTTATTATTGCATAATAAGTTGAAAATGGAAATGAAAAGTGTGTTAAGTGTAGTGGCGTTGATATGTGTGCTGACAATGGGATGTTTTTGGCAAATCTATTACATTTGTGAACTCTATTTCAGTTATCCAACAAATGTGATCATTGAAACCAAATTCGATGTCTTCGACAAAGAGTTGCCGTCAATTACTTTGTGCGCGAATATCGGCAACAAAACACAGAACCGCACGTCTG